CTTGACCGTGGTAGGACGGATGCCTGCAGAAGACTCTACGGACTACGCAATGGACTTCTATAAATAATGTTATGGTTTTGGCTATGTTTTCGCTTTTGGGTACTCCACCTCGCACGCTTGTGAAAAGTTGTTTTCCCCCTAAACAACTTTCTTGAGCAGGGGGATATTGTAAGGAAAGGACTTAAAGACGCCGAGGAATGGCAAAACAAAATTGAAGAAGACGAGCGGAGGGCAGGTGGCACGAAGGCGACAACAAGAAATGAAGAAGAGAAGAAGGCACGTGCGATTACGAGGCAACTGTGCGCCAATCAGCTGATGACCAGTGGTGGCCCATAGAGGTGGCGTGCCACGATTGGGCCACGGGTGACCATCACGTGGCAATGGGCTTTGTGACTGGGGACGAGCCGAAGCAGCGGCAGACAGCGGGCCGAAGCGTCGGACGCAGGCGAGCCAGGTTCCGGCCAGGGAACGCGGCCGTCCACGCTGCTGCCGTCCAACCACCAGCTGGGGCGGCATTCCCGGGACGAGTACTGCATCTCGAGGCGCGGCCTGACCTGCTGTTCTCTTCCTTGCCGAGGGCATCGCGGATCTCGGCGAGGCGTCTCCACGGTCAGCCGTTCGACACAGCGATGAACGTGGCCTGGCTAATGGTCACGGTTGCGTCGGGCATCGCGTCTCGGCGCGCGCTCTTCGCTGGACGGGCTGGCCATGCCCCGCATGGAGCATCGCGTCTCCGATGCGGGTTGACAGCTCCGTGGCCGCACCCATGCCATCAAGCGCCGGTGTCACCAGAGCGTCACGCATCGGCAAGGGACGAGCGAGACGTTCTGCCGGGCGAGACGCGGGAGTGCGCACAGAGGAGCACGGAACCGGGCGAGGTCCAGGGTGGCCGAGGATCCAGGTGCCAGGGAAGTTGCTGGCTGAATCTAGGATCGCCGAGCGGTGCCGAGTGATGCGCCAGACTCGGACGTGGGCCACGAGCTCATGAGCTGCAGTGTGCACCCGAGGGTACCTAGCGGTGCCCTGGCCAAGAAGAAAGAACGTGCGGAAAAGAGAGCTCGAGGGTTGAGGCCACGAAGGCAGAGGAAGCGGTGCGCCGCTCGAGAGGACGAGTTCCTGGCAGCGTTCCTGAGCCGGACGTGAGACCCGTACGTGTCGGCCAGGTCGAGCTCCGGTGTGTCTGTTCAAGGTCCAAGGCCGAGACCTGCCGAACGGCTCCTGCCTGGCTGCAGTGGCCGGGAGCAGGTTCGTGGGCGAGGCCTACCAGGTGTGGTCCTCGTGAGCCGTGGCCTGATCCTGGACCTCCGGAGTTGCGACCCTGACTGCTGGGTTGGCCGCGACGTCCGACTCAACGGCGCTGCACACGGTAGCGTATCCGTGCGCCATCAGCCGTTCCACCCATGCCATGAAATAAAAGTGCATGTTAATCTTTTCTCGTCCACTATCAACAAACATGGTGACGAACGTCTGTTAACCATCACACCAGCACAGGTGTTGTCATGCGATGCCTGGAGAAGGTGCTACCAACAATGTCAAACGCTGTTATGTTGTGTAGTAGCCCAACGTTTCCTCTTACACCAGCTGCGTCTTCTAAAGGCTCTCTGTAGTTTTCGCCATCGCCAGACAACACCCGAACCCCATGCTTATCCGTCTGGTCAACACCCGAACCCCATGCTTATCCGTCGACTAGACGGAAGAGTTGCCTGAGCTGAAGCCACATGAACCGAAGGACGCAGAACTTTGCATGAGGAATGCTACGTTGGACATGCCATGGCTACGTTGTACTCCGATAGGCCCACAGCAACAAGAAGTTATTATAACTAACGATGTCTCGCATCAGCCTATTGACCTGTTCACCCAAAATGATGATGATTCAAGGCTCTGCAAAGGCGTTGAGCATTCCACCAACTTTTTGCCAGATGCATCACCATATGCAAGTCAACCATGTAGATGTGGCAAAAAGGATCGCAATTTCATGGAGCGCCAATGTCAAGTGTTTTATGCTCAAGGCATGGTCACCAAGACGGCACAGCTAGAACAAAGACTGTACCAGACAGCAAGCTAGCTGCTGCAGGCCAAGAAATTGAAAACAAACTGGACGCCAAGACAAATATCCACTCAGCGGCTTGGGAACTTGTCAGTTGTCTGGATGAGCTTCGACAGCGTCTCAGCCGAAAAACTGAGGCTTTCCGAGGTAAAAGACCTGCAGAACGGGAGCGCAAGAACAACAAACAAGCCACGAAGTCAGATGCTAAGCCAACCCAGAATAGGCAACACAAGCTCAGTCAAGAAAGCCTAGCCGCTGCGAGCAACACGAAAGTGGGAAAGGCACCACAAAGTGCAGCTTCCATCTACCGTGACCGCTGTGTCGCCTATAGTAAGCTTCAATCGACTGACCCGTCAATAAGTACAGATGCGAGGCCTAAGGTTGAAAAGGAGGAGCAGGTTGGCCGTCAACCGGAGATGAAGGCGGAAAAGGTGAAGCACCTTAAGGAATGTGAAATGTGCCATGCGAAAGGGGCTCAGGAGACGCGAAAATGCCCCTTGGCTCTGTACAAGGAAGAACAAATCAAGGTCAGAGGTGACTATACTTTGAGGAAGGCGCCGCTGAAGTTGTGCGAGAAACGGCAACAGAAGAGGCGCAAGAAGTGGGATTCAAGCACTGAGAACGTCAGGCGACGTCAGAGTGTCACCAGAAACGTTGGGACAACATCAAGGCATGCTAACAGACAAAGCTTTAGACCATGATAAAGAGCCTCAAAAAGGAAAACCATATTGTTCCAGGACTCCCGGACCATTTAGATGTTTTGGTGACTGCAAGACTATGAGACACACACACGCACAAGTGTCACTGGAATAAAGCTGTTCTTGTGTGACATGGTGTGAGTGTGTTCGTTGTACTCAGTCGCCCCCTTTGCTGACACTACAGCATACCTCTTAAGCTTTACGGCTGCAATACGAAAAAAAACAAAAAAACAGATCATTTGTAATCAAGCATTCGTGCTCGTATGCATATGTGTTTGCACATTCAAACTTTCCAGACATGATTGATTGATTGATTTGTGGGTTTTAACGTCCCAAAACCACCATATGATTATGAGAGACGCCGCAGTGGGGGGCTCCGGAAATTTCGACCACCTGAGGTTCTTTAACGTGCACCCAAATCTGAGCACACGGGCCTACAACATTTCCGCCTCCATAAACCTTCCAGACATGTAAAATATACTTAGTGTGTTCATGTTTTCATACTCAGATATCATCTCACCTGAAATTTCAGAATTTTGATAATGATAATAATAATACACTTTTATTTTTCATCAAGATGATAAAGGAGGCTGAGACAAAAAGCTGAAAAGCAGCTTGATTGGCGAGTTGCACATACAAGTTGTTTCTTATACGAGATGTCCATCATAAGCAGGATACCTCGTATGCATTTTCGTATTTACCCGTACACTACTGTAGGCCCGCTGGTCTTTCTTCTATCAGTGTCCCTCATAAAGAGGTTTGACTGTAATATTAAAATTTTCGCTATCGCGTTCATTGCATTTAATTCATTCTGTGCACCATCCTGTTGTGAGAAATAAACAGCGAATCGCGAAAGGTACCAGCCTGTGGAACTCAGTGGGGGGGGCACAAAACAGAAGCACGTGATGAGTCAACCTTGAGGATTCTTCATCACCGTGGTCTCAGGAGAGTTTACATCAGCACCTAATCTGACATCCCCTCGGTGGTGAGGACACAGTTGTTCGAAATTAAGAAATGTCAAAACATCTTAAAAATTCGTATCTTTATGTATCTCGAAAATTGACAGTTTCACCGCAAGGGCGAAGCAATGAATGCGATAGCAACACCTTAGAATGTAACATTGAGAACGGCAAGCAGATCGAAGCGTGCAGTGCACTGTTTACACACAAATTACGTATAAAAACAACATACACAAGACAAAAGCGAACTAACAACATTTACCTCTCCACACTTAACGCGCTGTTTCAACAAAACAAGGGACGAAATGTAATTACAGGTACAGATATCAGTGCAAACTAACAAGCCCCCGATTTGTTACTTCGCTGTGCTTGAATATCGCACTCTTTTCTCAAACGGTGCCTGTCCAGCGAGCAAAGTGATCTTTGTGCGCTTGCGTCAACTAAAAGCAATTGTTCAGGTCATAGTCGAAGGCGCGCGATTCTCCCCACCAAAGGATAAGTGCGCACGCACAAGCATCTACCTTTCCCCCCTTCGCTGGGCAAGGTATGCGTGGGAGATAAGCGCGCGTCGACGCATTTTGACGAGCTGGGTGCCAAGCACAGGTGCCTTTTTTTTTTTCTTTCTCGAGTTTTCATAAATATAGATACGTATGCAGTGAATGACGGCGGCGACGGCAAAAAACCAGCCGAGACTGTCCATACAATTGCCATCGCAATAAAAAAAAAGTAATGCTGAAGGTCGTCGGGGGCCTTACCATGCGCGCGCAGTGAAACTATACTATGCGCCAAACTATACCATGCGCCCCCACATATGTGACTGTCAACACGCAAAAATAGTTGTTTTGAAGTGGGGGGGGGGGGGGGAGAGGGGAGCAGCTGCATATGCGTCTGCGGTGGCGAAAACAGCGGCTCGCAGGCTGCAGGCCCCACTTCCCACCTCGCTCTCACCCGCACAAAGACGAGGGCTCACTCTAGCCTGGTGGGCTTTGTCAATGCCGGAACACCCGCGAAAGATGCATGCTCATACAAAAATGCTAGAATTCGGAACGAAATTCCTTGATTATCCGTGGGGGGAAATTCGTCATATCAAGGTTGTCTCCTGCTCTTACCTTGTTACATAGAGGTCCCAAATCCATGTGCATCTATGGAGCAACGGCAGGGAATAGAAAAACTTCTTTATATCAAGGAATTCATTATAAGCAGATTTAACTGTACTACAATGTGTACGAATCTCAACCGGCATGACATTAGTTTCATTTGCCCTAGAATAACCAGCTATGGCCACTGCCAACCAACCTCAGTGGTGTCATTCTTGCAGCGGGATGTCCCAGCGAAGTAGTTGGGTCGGGGGTTGCCACTCCCAATGGGGCACTGGTTTATGTCCAGCCGCTCAAAATCCAGCTCAAGCACAGCCACTGCCACATACCTGAAAATAGAGACAACAAAATCGGCTCCCGCTTGAGCCACTCAGGCATTACACGGCACCGATTCGCAGGCTTCAGCTGGCACCCTTCCCTGCGTGGCCTCCTATCGTAAGCACTTGGGTTCCCCATGCAACCTTCACGCGTAGCAGCGGAACTACGCGGAGTTAAAAAGCCTTGTGGAATACTTGGAAGGCAAGGCCAATGTTGCAGCATAGTCCAGTCCAATCCAATTATAGCAAGAAAGTGCCACGAAAACTACATTGTTAAAAATGATGATTTCTATAAATGTGCTGCACAAAAAAATAGCGGATGGCAGTCGTAAGAAAACTGTGATACCACATAGGGTCTGCCAACAGACATCCATGTAAAGGACGACAAAGCTGCTGATTTTTCGGACATGCCTGAAAATTAAGATGCTTTCGTGGGAACACCACGAATCCCATAGAGCCAATATATGTTGTTGTCAAAAGTTTGAGCCACAGAAAGTTTTGCAATTCTCATCTTCTAACTCCAATTGCATGTCGCAAAGTGCAAGCGACTGCTGCTTCCACGCCACCTGAAATTTCCAAAGTCAGCTTTGCTGCAGTGCCTCAACGCTATCAGGTGAAGCATACAAAGGGGCACTGGAGGACTTTTTGGATTCAGCAGCTTGAATTTCTCATTTTCATTTTTCCTTTCTAGGATTCCATTACCCTCCAACTGGGTCACCGAACAGCCACAAATCATTTTTACAGCCTAATAGGTGGCTTCCGGTCATTGCTGTAAAGGTGTTATTTCATCACTGAAAACAAAGTCCAGAGTGCAATAGAAGCCAGTCTGGCTTGGAAAATTTCTGAAAAAAAAAATAATAATGAGCACTGTCTAATTGTTGAAATATAACAGAAATGACGATTTGGGCCTGCTTCACAAAAATCTAAAAATGAAAGTGTTACTTCTGTTTCATTTCAACAATTGGTCGGTGCTCTCTATTTTCCTTCACTATTGAAAACATACTAAACTTGATGGTGTAGCAGCTTCTCATTGTTATAAGCGATGTATTGTTAATACCAGTATCATTACGAGCAGTCTCGACTGTTCATTCTGCTCACAAAAGAACACGCTCATGAGAACTACGTTGGGACTGTCCGCAACACAGGGAACTGCCAGCAAAGAGATCCTAGCCCGAATCGAGTTGCCCTATGTACCAACCGTTTTTGCAGAGTGACATTGAGCTTTCTCCAATGTCAACATTTGGTAATAGGTTGATCGTAGCGGCCACCAGGGCAGAGGTGGCTGATATTAAGTTGAGAGCAGCGTTTAGAGTGGCAAAATTTTTATTTTAGAGCAGAAGAACGGAGATTTGGAGCAACAAGACTGTTCGTTGGTACTTGCTTGATGACATATTTTAGCTGCAAATTAGCAAACACAGACAAAGTTCGTACAGGTTTCCAAAGCAAAAATTATATTCAGAGACTTTCCAAGACCTCTTGCAAGTTTTTCAAGGACTCAAAGCAGCATGCTAAGTGAGAATTTTTCACTATAAGACTTTAAATAAGTGACTAATTTTATTGCACTTACAAAAAATATATGAACATCGCAATTCTAAAAAAAAAAACTCGTCTTAATAACTTCTCGCACCCTCTCCATCCATAGGGAGAGGGCACGATAACGTGTCAGAAAGTTAAGTGCTGACGGGCTGCAACGCTACGTGTGGTGAGGCCTTAAAAGGGTGGTGCCACAATATCTGTGGCTTGCGAGCTCTTGCTGCAAGCATTAATTAGTGCTCCAACAAATGCAATACATGCACCAAGATTAATTTGTTTTTGCTAAATAATTTATCGCCTCACTGATACGGACAATTTTCAGTTGCTGTTTGTGGGCACCAAATGGGCAGGGACATAGCAGTGTAGCTGACTTAGTCACGTGATCACAAATCTTTGAACACTTCATGCTCAGTATTGTCTGCTCTCACACAAATGTATCACAAAATCATCTGCAAAACGAACGCACCTCTAGCTGCAGTAGCAGCAATGCTTTCCCTATACGTATACGTGGCAGAAGTCGGGAAGTCATTAACTTCACTACAGATCTTGTGTGACGTCACTACGACTTTCGTTGCCCTTCGTACAGAGCCACGTCAGTGGTCAACACGTTCGCAATGGGCCTCGATTAGGAGAATGAACATTTAGGTTCACTTGAGAAGTTGCTTAAAATATATTCTCATTGTTTTCCTGGCCCAACAATTCACGTTGAGTGTCCTTGCATATATAGAGAGAACCCCCACAGTGCTTGCTACAGCCTTGAAATTTGATGGCACCACACCCTTAAGAGCATTGACTTGTGCACAATTGACACTTGCACCACGCTGCTCAACAACCAAGACAGTGGTTAATTTGCACTGATCCTGTGAATACTACACCTGTGCGCCGGTACCAAAATTGCCTGCAGCGGCGCGCCGGTGTTTTCATCTTTGGCAGCGGTGCATGACCGGCACGGGACTCATCGAATCGGCGGTGGCGCGGTGCAAAAGGAGGGGAGAGGGTTATACTCCAGAGTGAGGAGAAGAAAGGAGAGAGTCATTCCAAATGAGAAAAATGAAAAAAAATTTACCAATACCATAGAAATATGAACTGTCTCCTTGAGTAAAGCTCTGTATTGCTAGATTCTGCTTCGGTTCTGCGCAGCAAGCCGGTGGTGTTCCGTGGCTCTGGAGTATGACGGTGGAAGCCGCCTTTATTTTCCTGTACTGCCCCTTGCCCTTTTTGGTATAAATTTGATAAGGGCCGGGAAAGCTGCCATCGCCAGGATGGAAGCATTGGATATAGAGAAGTGCCTCGCGAGCTTTCCGCTACGAAAGGGAGCCTGCGCTGCCGCCAGGGGAAGGAGTGCATTGGACCCACCAATATCTGTACCTCAAGTTTCTTATAACGTCAATATCGTCCTAGTGATGTTACGAGCAGTTGTGAATACCTTTTGCCTTGACTAGCACACACATAGTACTGAAAAATAAGGTGGAAGGAAAGAGCGCCGGCATGCAGTAACATGTGACCGGGCGCTAAAGTGACAGAGAGTCGCTATAATCGAACGAATTTTGTTCAAAGGACCAGTAACGTCGGATATAGCTGCCCGGTGACAGATGAACAATATTGCAAGATTTCGCTTGAAGTGCTGCACTCAAAATGAGTGTAATGTTCGCACGTCCCCTTTCATGTATTTATCCGACTTTCAGCAAGAAGGTAGCTAGCTCATGCCCAAGCACATCCAATTGCTTTTATGCCACAGTGACCTCAAAGCAATAGTTACCGTGGTGACAAAGCAAATAAAAGAGGGTATGAAGGACAAAATAATTAGAAAGAGTCTTTTACGCGATCAACGTATATTACCAGGGTATAATGCACAATCTGCATACTGCTCAGTTGACTTCAGGAAGGCATCACTTTTTTTTTTTTTTGGAGGTGTGATCGACACTTCCAACCAGGAAAAAGAAAGGACTGACCCAAGGTGAAGTGCGCCTTCTTGGTGATATAACGAAGGACGTTAACAAAGTTTTAAAACTGGGACCCAAGTTCACGTTTGAACCTAATGTTCCACCGGCGGAAAAAGTGGCTTTTTCAAGGAACACTTCCCGGTATGTGCCTGAAGGCGTGCAAATAAGGTGCGTTTTTGATTGTATAGATGTGTGCACTCAAACGTCATTGGCTAGGCGAAGGCTCTCCACTGACAAGTTGGTCGTAGAATTTTTGGAGGGGAATGGGCTTAGGGTTCGTTTGTCGGATAAGGAAGGAATGTTTATGGTCATGAAAAAGGGAGTTCTTAATAAAAAATCTGAGACAGCCGTATTGAAGAATTCAAAAAGAGTGGACGTTATAACAGGGAAGGTGACACAGCAGGCTATTGCTATGCTGCATGATAGGAATCCATACCTGCCAGGTTCGCAGCGCAGGCATTGGAGAGATGCAACCGAGTTGGGGATGGGTCACGGGGGATGAAATTTTTCACACGCTTTTTCTCAAGATTAAATTTTTATGGAGTTATCATGGCACAATAATGGTACAGTTTTTGTAAACCGCCAACAACCTACCTCGCTGTGGTCACCACCACCAAATCTTCGACGTGGCTGAAGCTACCTTTTTCGAGAAGTCCTTCAAGCACTGTCGGGCATAACAATGTTCACCACTGCCACTCCAACACTTTGCCAAAAGAATGTTTTTTTGCACGGAGAAACTGCACGTGGAGTCCATCCTTAGCGCCATGCTAGTCCAAGCTGTCACTCAAAGAACAGCCCAAGCTGTGTCACTCGCAGTTACATTACTGCCCAATTTTTGTTGTGGCAGATTTGGCCCTCTTCAAAAACTCCTCAGAATATACCTGTGAATAACACGGTTCGCGGCTATGACATTTGGCCTGAACTAGTTGCCCAAGTGTCTTGTCTGACACGAAAGTGCGGCACTCTGTTCGAGTCTTCCTCACAATGCTGAACTGCCGCTCGCATTCAGCATTGATGTGCCGTACTGAAAGGATTCCCAGCATTACTTGAGCAATGCGATTGAATTTCATAAGCCCATCTTCGCCTTTCAGCAGCGAGATTTTTCTCCACTGCACATCGGCCTGTTCCTCTTCCAGTATCTTTGTAGGAATCTTGAAAGACTGCAAACGGCAAGCCGGTGTGCCAGCGGTGTCAGTGCTATCACTCAGCGACATCAGCGTGGAAAATACAGCAGAATCCGACGCTAGCGCCACCACAGCTGCCTTGCGCCTCATAGCTCACAGAGCGGCGGCGCTGCATTCACATGCTCGGAGAAGTACTGGCCAGCTCGCTCGCTTTTGCGACGGCTCTGCTTGGTCGACTAGGCACATTCGAGCTCTTCAACGATGGCGATGACAATCAGCACTCCGCGCATGTGCATTCGTGCTAGGTTGCCAAACTAGAGCCCGCTTTGAGACAAACACGCGGGCACTTCCGGGAGATATCTACCTCGGTCGTACAATCGTACAAAGCGGTCGAAATTCAGGAGTCTCCCGG